ATTACAACAAGTATGTCATTAGCAGAAATTAATTAAAAAATTCTACCGTTCCTGAATAATTGATTATCCGAAGGTTCTTGACACGTAATAAGGGACGAAAGTAGGGGACCCTTTTCTAGCCTCGTACCGGGCCTACGGTAAAGTTTCATAGGGCCCCAGGGTTGTCCAATATTAACCCCTCCACTCGACAGTGACGGCAACCCGCTTTACACCACTGCAAGTAGTACGTGTAACAGGGCGCGTCAACTTTTATGTCAGATTCAAATAATCGTTTGACTATATTCATAATTTTTGTTATCGGGCAGGTGTAGAAATTTGATAAGGATTTTTTTTTTTTGATACGTCATTCTTGGTTATCAATTATAAATTTAATTCTTGGTGTATTAGGACCTAATGCGATTTTATCTGTTGTAACGAGTACTTTGCGTGGGTTGAATATAGTTGAATTTTTTGTTTAATTTAATTAATTGATCGATCGATACTTAACTGCCGTTGGACGACGATCGATGAAATCTTCTGGATTTTTGATTTGGAGTTGATTTTGGGTGGAGAAAAAAAAAAGAAGTTTGTAAAAATTGTAAACGTCATTAAAAACAATTTCGTTTATTTGAATCGCACAAGACGTACACCGTATTTTCTATTTTATAATTAATTAGGCTCCCCGACAATAATCTCGGTCAAAGATTGTCGCAAGCTTTGGCCAGAGTTTATCTCGCAAGCGCCCGATTTCGTATTGCCTTAATGTCGACTCTCGGTTAAAGGTTGTCTCTTTAATACCAGGTTCAAACCTTAGGCTTAATAATGTCCTAGAAACCGAGTTTCGGTTAATTACCCTGGATCAGAAAATTTTTGCTAAAATCCAATTCTCTTTTTTTTTTTTCTTTAAATCGTCCGTGCATTGCCGATACCATTTATTATTTTTTTTTTTTTGTAATCTTTTCATGGACTTTATTACAGCCCTCATTCAACCCCTCCCGCCCTCTTTCCCCGCTGGTGTCTTTGTTCTTTTGCTTCTTATTTTTTTATCTTTTTTTTTTCATCTGCTCCTTTGAAACTTCACGCGTGTCTTTTGACTTTTTCGACTGCCCCCTACACCTCTTTTTTGTTATACACGAAATATTTTGTTCTTTTTTTGCTTTTCCTTACGATTACCTAGAGACAGTCCGTATGCGAGTCTTACGGATTTTTCAGGTAATAGTTATTTTCTTTTTTTTTCAAATTCTTTTTTTTTATTACCCTGTGTAGAAACGTTTAGAAACCTATTAGAGAACTCGGACGCGACGACGGGTCGACTATTGTGTGTAAATGAATATTTTTGAATTTTTTTTTTTCAAAATTTTTGGTGTTTCGATAACACCTTGATTTTTGAAATAATTTTTGTATGTTTTTTTTTAATAGTATCAATTTTTTCCTTTCTTTCTTTCACTCTTTATCCAGCACTTTGCTGGACAGCGTCCCGACGCCGCATCAGGTCCGTCGGAATCCTGGCGTCGCGAAATAATGTTTTTGTGGGGGCAGGGAAATCTTGGTCCTATGTATTACGATATCGAGAGACATCTGACTAAGAACAAAAGGAATCAAAGGGAAATATATGACTAAATATAAAAAAAGCCAAAAAAAAATATATATACAGAATCTTTAATAAAACAAAAAAAAAAGAAAAAACTGTTCATTCATGGTATCATTTTCGTAGATTTATTTCTTGAAGTACACACTAAAAATTTTTGCCTTGTTTTTTTTTCCCCACGGAAAAAAAAATTTTGTTTAGCATGCGACTATCTTTTTCATTTTTTTTTTTATTTTCTCTTATCATTTATTTATTTTCATTTCGTGCTTCCAGTTCACTACGCTTTCCGTGCTGGTTTCACCCTTTCGTTCCCAGCAACCCTCGACTCACGACTCGTCTTCACGCACGCGGCATTTTCTTTTTTTTTCCGTGAAAATAAAAAAAAAAGAAATATGAGCCATCCAAATATCTCGTAGCATCAATATCTCCGTCGTCGCCCGTCCGCAGCAAAAAACGGTGATAACCGGCTATATTTATAATTATCGTCAATTAGGTAACCGCCATAGATAATAGCATAATCGTTATCACTATAAACATCTTCGTATTACGTCGTTATTAATTCGTCTTTGCTTTCTCTTTTTTTTTTTTCCTTCCAATTTTAATCCATTTTATTCTCCACGCCTATATCTCTCGCCGAACGAGCGCGCACGAAAAGCGCGGCAAATTCGAAATTTTTGGAAAAATCAGAGTTCGCTAACGGGCAGTGCCACATATGTACATTGTATATAAACAGGTATTGGCAAGTGTACGTATTTCCGAATTATCTAACAAATTTTTAACTAGATAACGAGATTTTTATCTAGGGTTCCGTGTACACGTCTAACACCAAAAACTATCTGATATGAGTTTTATTTATTATTATTTTTTTTTTCCTTTTCCTTTCACCTTTCATTCACTTTACTCTCGGCCACTTTCCTCGCACATGACAGACACACACGCTAAATACCGATCGCAACCACATACGTACGAGTCACACTCTCAGAGGGCAAAGACGCACGTCATTGGACGACACTGGTATCAGTTTTCTTTTTTTTTTCCTTTTTCGCACGCAATTTCGCCTTTTTTATCATTATTATTATTATTATTCTCTCTCTCTCTCGCACTCAGTCACGCATTCGAATTTCGCGCCAACGCGCGACTCCGTTCGCGAATCTATTAGCCTTATTGCCTATATTTTTTTTTTAGGAACAGTTCTCTTCGAAAACGTTTACAACGACAAAAAACGACCTCCCGTTGGAACTCAAGGGACGAGAAAAAAAAAAAGAAAAATAATATTCGCAAAAAGTCTTCAGTCTTGGGCAAGAAGAAAAAAAAACAGAAACCGCCAAATTCAAACCCGAGATACGTCGCGCCGATCGATCGGTCGTTAATTCGAGGATCGATCGATCCGATCGACTCGCGATTTTCCCAGGATCAATGATCGGCGACCTTCGATCCTGGGAAAGCCGCGCGCGCGCGTTCCTCGTCCGCGCAGACAATAAATATAATCAACGAATTACGATAAGCCGACAATAGAGTGTTTTTTCTCTTTTTTAACCCCCTCTTTCACTTTTCATTTTTTTCCTTTTAAATCTCGAAAAACGGGGGGTGGCCGCGAGCGCCCGAGATAGGAGCGACTTCTTTTTTTCCTTCCTTTGACTATGGTACAAAATTCATGGCGATCGACGTCCGTCGGTACGCGTCGATCGCCTGCGGAAACAAAATGTACAAAAAATAAAACGAACAAACGCAAATCACGAGACCATATTTGCCAATGTGGAACACGAGGGATTATTGCTAGATCGTTAATTTGACAAAAATTCATTTTTTTCTTTTTTCCCACCCGTTATAAGTGCTCGAGTCACGTGAAAAAATTCACGTCACGTTTTTCTTTTCGAAAAAAATTTTCTCAGCTCCCCCCTCCGCCCCTCTACGCCCATATCATAATATTCGACCCGTAGAATTCAAGCGGACGGGAAAGACCATAAAATACGCGGGCACACCCCGTATAACGACAATAGAAACGATAAACCTAGACAACTTTGGCATCTTCTTAACCGTTAAAAACATCTTCAATAATAATTTAATATATCGGAATAAAATAATGTTACGCCGCGACTAAATGTACAAGTGTTCACCGTAGCACAGTATCAATGAGGAATAATAATGAATAATTAATAATTAATAACATAATAATAGATAAGACCATAATAATAATATAATAATAATAATAATAATAATAATAATAATAATAATAATAATAATAATAATAATGACAATAATATTAATAAAGTCAATAAAGAATTAAAGATAGTAATTAATCGATCGATCGACTAAACGATCGATCAATTAATTAATTAATAATGTAATGACGATAATAATTAATAGGTATAATACATTTTACATTACGTACGTTTCGGCCTAGAGCTTAGAAACTAGATCGTAGCACGTGTTCCTTATGTAATTAAATAAATGAAAAATGATATTCATGAAATATCAATACGTAACTTGGAGGGGACGGTGGGAGGGTGGATGGGGGGGTGGGAGAGGAAGGGATCGAATACATACACGTTATAATTATATTACATAATATGTACACCGGAGGATGAATAACCGCTTGAAATTCTTTTTTTTTTCTTTTTTCAAGGGCTAGTGTAAGGGTACGTGGGGATGGGATATACATATATGTTGTGTTTGTGTGTGTATATATATATATATATATATCACGAATATCCGCCCACGTTGAAATAGCACCCTTGAGCAGGGTGGGGTTACGAATGTACAATAGTAATGAAAAAAAAGAAAAAGATCATATTTACCACTGAATTTCAGTCACTCATACTACTTTATCACACAATCAATTCATACACTCGATAATCGCTTATCGATTCTCGATTCGCATTGACACGTCATTTCTCTAATACATATACATAGTGTTCGGTGATTTCATATATTACGATATATTATATTATTAAATAAATAATCTTCAATGTGATAATAAAGTTACTATATCGATATCGTATGTATATATTTATATTTTTATGTATATATATATATTGTGTGTTTATGTATAT